GAGAGAATATTTAATCGTTGAAAAAATCCAAAAATAAAAAAGGACGTCCAAAATCATTCAAAAAAGTAAAATTTTTTACTAAAAATGATAAGAATTCTACTACCTTCTCATACGCCATTTCCGTCTTTTGGTCAAAAGTACTGAAAACACAGAAATATATGCCGCTTTAAATAATTTATTAATGGTATAGAAGAAAAACCACTTCTGTAAATAGTAGCACAGAACCAGATTTTATAAGCATTTCTCATCAAAAAACCTCTGAAATAGTACCTAATAGAAAAGAATATTAGAAACTTTATTTCAGGGCTATAGAGGAATACAAAAATTATGTCACAGGCACAAGAGGGCGAGAGTCTTTAACATATATTTTCATTCCGCCGCCTAAGGATGACGTCGAGTACGTTAAACAAAACTCATTTTATCCTTTACAAAATATTTGTAGAAAATGTTTTTTTAACCAAAAGTGAATTGACAAAAAAAAAAAAAAATTATGCAGTGTCTGTCCTGTCTAAAAATGTTGAAACCCTAAAAAGAAAAAATTGCTCAATAACGGAACCCGTTATGAAGAACGAGGTCTCTGCGTGATTTACACAAATCAGACAACTCAATTCAGAAAAAAATTTTGTTTTTTAGAGGGGACTATGAGGAAGAATTAAAAGCAGTAGTCAAATCTCTCAATGAGGTACAGAAAGAGGAAACGAACAAAGAAGACAGCAGTTGGTCAAAAGCTACTGTAGTAGCACCTGACGAACAAACGAGGAAAGCTATACAAAACGTCACTGAAAGTAACTCAACAAAGATATTTTCATTCGATGATGACAAACCGATTGAAGATCAGCTTGACGATTTGGTCAATAAAACGATTGATAACGTTGGTAAATTTTATAAATATCTACTCAACGCTACTAATTAAGCTGCAAAGTATTACTCGGTAATTTCATTCTGCTGACCAAACAAAGAAATGAAAAAGTAAACAAGCAATAAGCAAGAAGAACTAAGATGTCATCACACAGTAGTCAGAGATGAAGCTTAAGCATATTCCGAAGCCAAATTCTGGTGCAGATAAGGTAATTCTTCTACATTAGTATCCCTACCATTGGTGCAAGAAATCAGCATAGATGACTCTGCGAAAAAAATTATGGACTAACCTAATTCTCATCGACTTAATGTGTTCAGTAAAGTGGCAGTGTATGTATTTTAGGACACTCTTAGTTTTTTTTGAATATAAAAGTTACCTAAAGCATAGCCAAAATCGACAAAAATTTTGACAGCACTTGTTTTCTCAGTTAAAAAATCCCCTGTCAAATCTGTTCGCCTTTTTCTTCTCACCTTTTAACGGCCCTTATGTTTCTTTCGTGAACTGCTAAAAAATTACATAAAGAATTCTATCCTCATTAAGTTTAAAAGAAACAGCGCAAAAAAAATGCGTAAAAGCCAATCCAGCGGAAGCAAAAATTGATTTGAATAAGAATCTCAACCGCTTGTGGTAAAAACTACGAGTGCAGAGCCATCTTCAACAACTACGACTACTGAGCGAGCTCTGAGAAGTACGGCTGCGGAACCAATTTTGACAGATACACAGACAAGAT